AGAATAGAGCAGCTAGATCTAAACAGCTTTGCAGATGAAGAATTAGAGAAACGTACCGAGAAATATTTTTGATGCCACCAAGTCACTACACGTGGCCTCACACTCCGCGATCGAACGGAATCGATTGGCCGTACCTCCACAACCGTAATAGGTGAACCATCGACATTTTCCTGTAGTCTTGTCAAAGAACACCATCAGGATAGGGGCGACAGCCAGTGACGGGTTTTGCTGGGAGCAGTGAAAATATCCGGCCTTTGGAGGTGCCAAACATCGGCGAATACCTTAAGAAAAGTGCAAAGCAAGTTACTAAGAGAGGCCCGGAAACCAACTTAGAAATATAATGTGTAAAAGCAAGCTGAAAACCAGATCCAATATAAAATTTCACTCTAGATTATATTTGAAGACGATAGGTTATTCATAGAAGAGCTTCATTTCCAAGTGAATTAAAAAAAGACTGCAATTGTTGTCAAGGGAAAATTAAAAAAAAATAAAACAGAATAACTGGCGTGCATCAATTTCAAATGACTATAACCCGCCACTCTTTCCGAGTTTTGAACTTTCACGTAGTGCTGCGATGTCCACTGACATGTAAACTCAAATTACAGTGAAGCATACATTACCAGAACCCCAAATTGATGATTCATATGTATAATGAACTGTGTATCCCACAAGTATGGTTATTACGCGGAGAGAATAAATCAGGGTGAATTGAATGCGAAAGAATTTCCCATGGGACTAATGTGTTTGCTAACGGTTTTTAGTGCACGTCACATGTTTAGAAAAAGCACAATGCTGGAAGAACTGAGTAAGCGAGAAATGATAATCACTCACAACTCTCTCAGGGCAACAGATCTTCCTAGTGCAAAAGCGTTAGGTCCCTGGTGTTTTGTACATCTAGTTCCGATGATGGGGTTCAAAACTTTTATGTATACCCGTGAAACAGAAATGAATTGGATAGATTGTACATGATTGAAGCTCTGTGCGTTTGGAAAACAGACTGGGTTTCATAGTAAACTTTATGATTTTCGAATACATCAGTAATCTCTTATACATTCACCTGTAAGGTGACACGATCCAGAATGTTTAACTTCCCCTTTTTTGGTCGCTAATCCTGTTCAGATATCAGATTTAGAAGCTTCTCGTCTAACAGATGGGCTTGAAATTTACTGCATCCGGCTGGGAAAAAACTGAAAAATTGTATTGGTTTCATCCATGATTTACCAGAGGACTGCATCAAAATGGGAAAAGCAAATGCACAGTTGATGTATGTATCAAATCTGCTCAGATGCTTCGCAACATAAACTGCTGTCTGAGGTCGTAAAATTCCACCGCATTTGCCACAGACTCGTTATTATCTCGTATTAGGGTTGGACGTGGTCGCACAGGTTACACTTCGAAAGCCTCTACAAGTAGCACATATTTGACCCTAACAACCAAAAGTGTTCATTTTCCAACGATCAGGAACAAATTACAACGGGAATCTTCGCTCGGATGAGCACAGAACGAGCCACTCGATGTCTACTAATTGGGATATACGTTTGTGGATTTTTGCAAAGTATAGTGGTGGTTGGGATTTTACAATTTGCGCAACGGTGATCGTTTACCAGCAGTTTATTTGAGCAAAGCGTTGTCTTAATCATTTGGACAGTCTTTTCCTTAAACGCTCTCTTTGAATCCATTCCTCAATTCCTGCCGTCAGCCACATACTTCAGAAACAGTAGGCCTAAGTGTCACTATCGTTAGGGATCAATCGTAGTACATGTATATCATGGTCTGTCCGGGATTTGAAATCACAGCACGGATTGTGTTTGTGTTACCACTATACCAACCAGCTTACACCAGAGTTGATCAACGTTATCAATTAGAGTTTTGTGTAACGCTAGGCTCGATGAGCACTTCGCCGCCACTTTGGACTGAGTGTGAGCCGTGTACATGCCTCACTGAACCTTCCGTTTCATGGTTGTTTTGTATTTTCCCTGTCTTGCAGGTTGTTTTGAAACCCCCTTTCCAAGGGAGAACTTGCTATCCTCAGTGTTTTCTATCCGTGCATTGAGAGCGTCTGTGCTGGGCCGCTTATAGAAGTTTGTTCGATATTCCAAAGAGAGTTTTGTTTGCGGCATTCTCACGGCGCTATAGGCACCAGAAACTCGGATCCTGTTACCCAAAATCTAACTCCTGCCGTGTATTACGAGCCAGTAGCAGCGGTGGACTAAGTTCTTCACACTACATTTTAGTTCATTTGGCCGGATAACAACGAAGGGAGAATGCATGCAGTCTGTTCATTCAAATTGAAATCTTTCTACATAATCGGGTCTTTCATACACCAGTTGAACGAACCACCCGGCCAAACCTGCTAAGCTGGATTTTCATTCCTATTAAACTCAAAGTTACGTGTCATTCGTGGTGTGGGATAAATGACCTTGATTTGGACTGTCCATCTTTTTATTTTGCTCATTGATTAATCAATAATCAATAATTTTCGTCCACATTGATTAACCACGGCAAAATTTCAGAAAACAGACTGATATTATCAATTTGGTCATTGATCACCAAATTTTTAGTTCGTCCGTCTAAAATAATAACCTCCTTATCTAGTTTAACATTGTCTTGGTCGAGGTTAACTGAAATGGCGGATGCAATGGCTCATGCAGTGGTCTACGAGTCTACGAGTCTCACTTTGTGGGGGATATTTAGCTACCTATTCGCTCTGTTCATTCCGCTTGCCGATAAACTCGAATGTGATGGTAGAACGAGAACACTGCACAACTGTTTCAACTTTGTTTTTCAAAATGTTAAGTAGCGCGTGCTTTTTGTACCTTGAACAGCATTCAAAACACAGGCCTGGAGGGTTGGGGAGTTAAAACTCATGTTGGTGAGCTACTCGATCAACAATCTGAGAGCATGACCGCATTAATTAATGTGATATGTTCTTGTTTCGATTCGTGGGAACCCAGCATCACAGAAATTCAAAGAGGCGGGTTCTTTCACACGAAAACATCCCTGAATTATTATGAAGAGGTGTTGGCCGATCTACATCTCTTAACAGAAGTTGAAACATTGAATGTCAGGACAAATCATATCTAACCTCGTCTATCTCTCCTCAGTATTGATTTTTGACTGAGGCAAATAAAGGCTGCAAAATATCAAAGATATTTGGAGCACCACATTAGTAGGAATATGAATCGGGACGGGAGATTTTGTAAACTTTATTGGTGTTCATTCTGGAGCTCAATTTAATTTCCATGTAGAAACACTGGATGGTCAAATGGAGCTTTTTATACTTTTAGGTTAGCCTTCAATAAAAATACGGTGTTTGTAATCCTTAGGAATTTGGCAGAATCTGCATTTTTCAACTCTTAACCGAAAGCAATGCTTCATCCAATTTTTCATACCTAATAGTCCTCTCACCATCATACAAGGCCCTTGAATCCGGTCACGCTGTCCGTCATTTGTTTCAAACGATTTATTGCACTTAATCGAAATATCGTCCGCTTACTGAGTCTTTCGTGCCATGCGTCAACTTAGCTACAGGGAATATGCAATCAGCCTAAACCTTTCTCGGAATATCACCACGATACACTGCCTAGCTCACAATCCTAACTGAGGCAACGAATGAAATTTATTGGATGCCTGACCCAAATAATATTGACTTGGATCTCTTAGACTCCATCTTTGTGCACACTGCTCAAGAGGCTTCCGAATGGAGTAAAAGATAGTCAACTTTGTCTCCATTCGTTGCTGACGGGTCAACAGACTGACTAACTATCATTGAAGATAACATTTTAACAAAACATTTATTGGTAATCCTGGCTATCCCCGAAGTGAGATAGTTGGCGGAGTGGTAACACACATGCATCCCGTGCGATGGGGCCGGAGTTCAAGGACCGAACAGGACGGTGGATATGCACTACTGATGAGCTTGAATTAAAACGAGCTCACTGAATGAATTGATAATTGTGCGTGAAGATAGGGTTTGAGGGATAATCAATCAAAATCATAGTACCTTATCCCACTCCCTGACTCGCAATTAATTATCATTTAGTAATTATGATTTAAATGAATTAGTTTACAAAGGTACATAAGCATGAAAGCGATTGGTGAGCACCTTTGCATAAAGATCCCTTTCCCAAGATTTACCCTCCTGTCATTATCAGCTGGTTTAAAATCTGGTTGATCTTCGTGACCACAGTCGATATTGTGACTACCATCATTTCGGAGTTATTTCTCCTCAAATGGGTCTGATATCCTAAAAAACAATGGTTTCAATAGTTATCGCATCACGTCAATCGTCTCATCTACCACAGCTCGAAGCGGCATCGTTGTATGTGTGTCAGAAAATCAGCATCAAGACTCTAGGGTGTTATTTCGCTCACACATACATCAAGTTGTGTGCTGCAAACGCCAATAATTGAGCAACCACTGATCAGTTGTACTACTAAATAGTTCTTTCATTCTAACCTTTATTTCAGCCGAACATTCTGATTCTGTGAACTCCTCTCCTGTTTCTTTCCTCACTGGACCATATTGACATTTCACTTTGCATAGTACTTGGTAGATTTCACTCCCGTTGATACACAGTCTTTCACAGTGCTTGGTTTTTTAACTATCATACCCGTTTCCACTTGGACAATGTTTCACTTAAGTTATATTGCTGAATGACGGAAAGAGAACTTCAGCCTCCTGTTGGTCTCTCATTAGGTTGTTTAATCACGTCTTCATTGAGAGTTTCACCAAGATTTGCAGTGCATAATCACAGAAGATTCCCCCATATTAATGTTCTAAACTACAGAGGCAGTAACGTTTGCATCAATAGTCTTACGGAGTGTAAGATAAACCACGCTCTGAGGGACTCATTAGTGATATCATCCCCAAAGCTGACTCTGTCAAATATTTTGGATTTACCTTGTCACATAACGTTTCTTCGCTGAAGCATGTAGAAAACATTTACAATAGGGTTCATAGATCGTCATTCAACGGTTTCAAACTAAAAGAAGCTAGGCGTTCCCTAAAATGTAATTCCAAAATTTGTGACGGGCTGCATTCTTTCAAACTGGTAGTACTGTTTCTCAGTTTTTCTTTTTCGGTATAAAACAGAAAAAAGTTATTCGCGTTTTTGGATCTCTTAAAAATTTTTCCCATTGCAGTGGCATTGCTTGATTTCATTGTGTGCAAGCATTTTGATTCATGTGTTAGATTTGTCAACCATGTACTGTCAAACGAAATACACTATCTACACACACATCTCAATAAATCGGTTTTCTCATCCGAGTACGTGTACTAAATTTAGGATTCTTCTCACACATACCACCACATACGGAAACAGCATCGTCCCTTATTTTACTCGTGTGATCGAGAAGCTATTATTACTGACTCGGAAACTCACCTGTTACATTGGCTTTTTATCACATCCGTTTGACTTTCTTTCTGTAGACGGCTTTTCAAATACTAAATGTTTTCTTCACCTTAATTTGTCGAAAGTACTAAAAATTCACTCAATTTGGGTTCATAAGTCGTAACTTGACTCGACTTGACTTGACTATTTCATCACTCTGACGAAATCTTATCCGGTCTCCATCGAACCGATTGTCTTATCTTCTACTTAAATGTTCAATAATGGTTTATAGGCAACATAGTAAACCCGAAGCAAGCCCTTCTATTCCACAGTGTGTCCAAAAATAATTTAAAAAACAAACAAATACAAACGTCTGTTGACTATCAGTTGATGAAAACCTCAGCTTGTTCTTTTAAGGCGGAGTTGCGTCATCTGAATGTTCATTAAGTTCTCTCCACCAGACGCTTTCAAACTAAAACTGGAGAGTGAATAAAGAGTTCGAAAGTTCTTTCGGAGACGGTTCATGGAACTTGATGAGAACGAATTAAGTTTTCATGAGACTGGTTGACTACACGCCAACTCTCATATTGTAGTTACATCTCGGTATGCGATAGCTAGTCAGCCCGATGTGACTGGTCCCCCGGGGAGAATTGTGTTAATCGAACCTTCGTGAAACAGACGAGCTAAATGGATCACACCTGATTATCTTCTACAAGTGTCCTCTTTAGTTTAGAGAATCCGATTGCATCAAAATAGCACACAGTCCTCCAGAAGGACCACACAGTATTTCGATAGCGTGTATTCCCCCCCATCAGCTGAATATAACCAACAGTAATCAGCTGGAACGCACAACAATTTGTTCCATCTGCGACACTCCAACTTCATTAGTACATTATGTCCCTGCATCACTTGATTAATAAGGCAATGATTTATTGTACTGCTTTACGGAATGCACTGTTACGTATGGTGGCGTTTGCTAAAAACAACTTCTTGTNAAATATGGCATTTCTCTCTTTCGATCAGTTAAAACACTAGTTTTCTTACCCAAAACACTTTGCCCGCTTCCGCGGTTCAGTGCCCCCCCCCGGCTTCAAAATCTAAATCACCTATGATATAGTGTGTCGCATTTTTCCAATTAATATTTACACCTATTTATTCTTCAAGCTTTGTGAACGGGGCTATTGACTGATCGCGTTTGTTGATGTCTTTAATTTTGACTCACTCTACCCCGAGAAGTGGAATTCAGTTAGACAACTCGTAGCTCCCGGATCCGGATGATAAATAGAGGAGGGGAGGAACTAAATTGTGTAATTTTTATGATACCCAGTTCTCCTAAATAGCTCAACTTCACTTCGGATGACACCTTTTATAACGATTCGCGTCGCTTAAACAGGAATCCCAACAAGACACATTTACTTTGCTGAATAGTTAACATACGATAACTTTCCCACTGTCAAAATGTTTAAGTGAAAATTA